CCCCAAAACCCCAAAACCCCAGCAAATTAATAATTAAGGAAATTAGAATTATAAATAAATAGTTAAAATGTGTGATAGAGTTCAAGAGAAAATATATGATGACAATGAGGAAATTAAGCATAATCCAAAGTGGGATAAGACCAAAGAGATTTTGTTAAAATCAGGTTGCTTTGAAGAAAGTTAAAATCTTTCAATTTGTAGAGAATAGAATCAAATGTAATGGACACTATGCACAAAGCAAATTTAGCAACTTAAAATATGTATGGATAAAAGATGAGCATTAATAAATTTATTGTGAAAATTTAACTATTCATAATTGTTCCCTTAATCAAAGTTCTATCTCTATTTTCTACTCAGTCTAAAACCTAGAATCTTTGAATCAAACTTTGAAAAGTCCTTAGTAATTATTATTTAGCTTATTAAAAGCACTACTTATTTATATGATTGATCCAGTGCTTTAGCCATGAGCATTTCCCCTACTTAGACCTCGGCTCTGAAACATTCCTCCACCTTAATTTTTCTAGTTTTCTTATTACTTCTGTTATTCAATATTTGGATTACTCATCTCAGCAATCTCAGTTGTCTTACTAAAATCACTTCTTTTTCTTTGACCGTAACCTGATTGCAAACCAAGTCTCATAAAATTACTCTAAGTTTATCCTTAAGTACTTTGACCACTGTTATTCTAATTAAGTCTGAAAGCGCTTTAAGATGATATGAGCTGTCTAGTTTAAGGTCTCGATGAGCCTGGGAGATTCGTGTTTATATTGTTAAGATTTACTGTTTGCATGAAACCGAATTGATTTTGGTATGTACGATTAAATTTTGCCTCATTGAATATCCTCTCCTAATAATATTTATTAATGAATAGATTATTACATTTGATATCTTGAGTTCTTATTCATATAAAACCTTAAATTTATTTATGTCATTTACTATCATTTTTACTGACTCGCCCTATAATACTTAGGGATTAAGGTTCGATTACTATAGTTTTCTAAAAAATTGTTTAAATTAAAAAATTAATGCTTACTTATACTCGAATTGCAATTCTTTAATAAGTGTTTGGATATCAGTATAGTTCAACTTAGAGGAATCTATTTCTTCAATACTTGTTGATTTTATAGCTTAGTCCAATCTCAAAGTACTTGATTTTTAAAGCTAAACTTCACTTCTCATTGGCGATTGCATCTTTTTTTGCTGAATAGGTCTTTATTATGACTTCTTTTGATTGGTTGGAGTTTTGTTTTTCATTCCTGGCTTTTGTTTCTAAGAAGTTTAACTGCTAGTTGATGTGAAGTAATTATTTAATTTCTCAAAATCCACACTTTACATCCTTTCCTCCCATTTTTGTATTTCAATCTGACTTTTCTATTTGATTTCCATAGTTTGCATCATAATTTTCTCAATAAATTCTTCTCTATCTAGTTACTTTCTAGTGGTTTTGTCAACATAGTTAAAAGTTGAAATGCTCTCTTTGACCTTTTTTTTGTTTAATGCTTCGAATAGCTATTTATAGAAGTCTTTATTTGGAGATAAAGGCTTTAAGGCTGGAGGTACATAATGAGTGTGCATTCCTTGAGTGTACTTTCCATCTTCAATGCTTAATATCAATGATTTTTACTATTGCACCATTTCATAGAGCTAGAGTAACTCATCTCGAGACTGGTAGAGCACTTACTGTGCTTCTTATTTAAGAATTTTAAATTCTGATACAAATCCTTGTAATTTATCATCTGATGCTTTTAACAAATAAGCATACTGCTCTTTAAGATTAGCAACCTCCTCTTTATGTTCTCTTTTTTTCTAGAGCAAGTCTCTCTTATACAAATGCTCTGCATCTCTCTTAGCTTGGTCTTAGGCGTCAAACATCTTGCCTATCAATCCAGTATTGTTTTCAATGTTGTCTCTGATTTAAAATATTACTGTACCATTCTTATCCAATACTTCTTGGTCCTTATCAAGTACATTATTTACATGGACCTATCTAAGTTGTTTAACATCCTCTATCTATTCCTAATACTCCTTGTCATGAGAGTTAATGTCTTGCTTCATTTTGTCGATTTTACTTTCCATACTTCTGAATTGGCGCCAGTACTTGTTTTCCAAGTCAGTCTTTTCATTTCTTATCAAATCTACTTCATTTTATAGATGATTCAACTTTTTCTCCAAATCTCTATTGATTCTTCCCAGAGTTTCAGCCCTCTCTCTAGCCTCTTTGTAAAATTTCAAAACTTATTGCTCTTTTGAATTAGGCCTTGCTTTGATTAATGCCTCTAGATCAGCATCAACTCCCAGCATTATTCTAAATTCATCTAGCTTTGATTTATATGATTTTTTCATGTAGTCAATTTATTTTTTGAGGTCATTATTCTCTCTAGACAGCTTATCTACCATTTAATTTGACTAAGCTGATTCAGCTGCCTAATGTGGATTTTTTGGTGATGTTGATCCACCATTACCTGATTCATCTCCATTATTAAATTTGCCTTAAATCCTATAGATAACGTAAATAATATTGTTATATTACTATTGGGTAAATTAGAGAATTTATTTAGATTCATCTTTGTAGTCCTCTTAACTATTGACAAAAAATAAAGGATATATATTTAGATCTTGACCCACCAAAGACCTTTTTAGGAACCTCGTAAGGTAATTACTTTCAAAATCCACTCCAGTTACTACTTTATTTGAGTAGAACTCCTTTAAGAATGTAGAAATGCTAGTAAGTGAATGTGCAAGGAAAGTATTAAGACTATTGAAGGAGGTGTCTATGGTCTGAACTGGAACAGCCAGATCAACTATATGCAAATTCGTTTTCCTCTTGCTATTTTAATCTGAAGGATTCCAAAATGTCATCTAAAGAACTACATGATTTATCTTATCCTCTCTTTAATCGTACTTCTTAATCAAGTATCCATTGTAATAGTTTGACTAATTGTTATTAGAGAATTTAAATAGTTACAGCTATATGAAAGAAGTTCAAAAGATTTTCTGGATCAATGGACTCATATCTAGTTACACCTTTAAAGACCATTTCTCCGTATTTCTAATCCTCAACTATCGTGTTAAATATAGGCACCTCTAATCATATTAAAAATTAGCTGTAGCTTACTTTCAAGGTCTACTGGGTCCTTTTTAGATTTCATTTTTTCCACAGCAAATTTCCCGAAATCGAGAGCACCTTCGTTTCCAAGTGCGAAATATGACATTTAGATTTTAAGTAGTTTGCTTGAACCAGAATCGCTCAAACCATTTCCAAATTTACTTGAGTTATTATTTTTTATTATAGCGATAGTATTCACATTATTTTACATCTATTTCTGATTTAGATTTCTTAACATATCCTAAGGCACTGATTGAATTATGTTTCTAATCAAATTGTTTTCTTTTGTAAATAATCCAAGACCTATATTTGGTAAAATCTAAGAGGGAATGCTTATTACTTTGCTTGTTATTAGTAAAAGAAAGTAACACTGTATTTTCCCATTTAAACAAACTTTCCTCAATCTATTCTAGTCTTATTGGATCAGCCTAAAATTGTTTATATAAATATAACTCTGAGTTTTACATATTCATTATAAATCTTGTCAAAGGAATGTATTTTAGACGATCCTGGCACAAATATGTCCTAGATTTGAACTTGGTTTAAAGCGTAGTTTATTCTCAAAAAGTTAGTTGACTTCGCAAACACTTTCAAATACATTTTAAAGTTTTTGGCTTATGGCTATTGCAGTAATTGCTGACTGTCTTATTTTAATTCCTCTTGATTTTATTAAGCAAGCTACAGTTATGACATTTTATTTCTTAATTCTTATTCAATAATTCTATCTGCTCAACTTTATTCTGCTCTTCAGGGGTTTTGGGGTTTTGGGGTTTTGGGGTTTTGGGGTTTTGGGG